CTATTGGCTAGTATTTTTGCAAAAATCTTATAATCCGTATTCAGTAATGATATTGGTCTATAACTTTTAGGTTGGGTCATATCTTGGTCCTCCTTAGGTATAAGTGAGATAAATGCACATCTCCAAGATGGTGGTATTTGTCCTCCCATTAAGACATCGTTAAATAGACATCTCAGAGGTTCCAACATTTCTTCCAGTATTTTTTTATAATAAATTGCAGTAAACCCATCTGTACCAGGGGCCTTACCAACCTTCAGTTGTTTAAATGCCTCTGCAATCTCTTCCACCGTAATCATACCATTCATCAATCCTTTCTGATCCTCAGAGAGACAACACAAATCTTAAACCAGTGGTATTATTTCTAATTTTTTTAGCTATACCTACACATAATTCTGAATGTAGTTTTGCATTCCTGCACTGAGCAACAGATCACTCAATAACTTAAAAAATGATCCCTTCAGAATTAATTCTACAACTACACGGAGATAGCTATTCTGCATTTGCATATTCATTATCAAATATTTATAAAGTCCATCTTTCAATTCATTCAGTGCTTCTCTTTACTAACAGAAATATTCAAACTATTCCTGATCTGATTTAACAGTATTTAAATAAGACTGAATAATGCTGCTATATAAACTTTTCTTGCACTCTTGGTGTACAATGAATCTTTGAACGGACCTTGATGGTTAAAACTCTGTTGCTATTTGCATTTCATTAAATAAATTTATATTATTTGTATGATGTCATAATGCCAATGACATAATCTTCACTAAAATGCTGTAGTGCACGGGTGTCAAACCCGATCGCATCACATGACGTATCGTGACAGTTTTTTTGCCTTTGCGGAGGTGGTGTGGGTGTGGCCTGCGCATGACGCATCCGGCCAGCGAGCCATCAGTTTGACACCCCTGCAGTAGTGGGTTTTCAGGAATAACGAACATCTGTCACTGGTCAATGTGTTAAATTAGTTTTAACAGTACAGTGTACATTTGTGGCCACAAG